ACCTGCTCCTCAAGAGTGTGAGCATGACTTTAGCTGTAGACAACAGTATAATTTATGGTTTTGTTTTTAGGTAACAGTGACATTTTCAGTTTAGTAGTAAAACTGCTTTTTCCTGATATGTTAATATATAGCTTTATAACTTTCATTGTTCAAAAACTAATTTTTTTGAGACCAGGTTTTTTAGGGATCAGGTTTTCTCTTTTACGGCATTGATAATCTCCAAAAATTTACAAATAATTATGATAATTCCCTCTACCATTCTCTTAGCTATAAAATTCAGTCAAATTATATACTAATTTATCCTTTCAAATATGCCTCTTCCATTTTCCTCATAATTTTTAAATTTGTTTCTGAATTGCTTATAATTTGTTCAAGTCTTCCTGTACTGAAACCCTAATATTAATAAAATACTCCAAAATTTTATTTGGAAGATTCAAGAAGACTCTCCAAAACACTGCTCAAAGAAAATTTAACTGCCTACCTTCATAATACAAGGACCTAAGTATACATCCTAAACATGTCTTAACATGACCTGCACTACAAACAGAAAACATTATTTAACAAATACAGGTGAATAAGAAACATTAAGTATGAGCTAATATTTTTAGTATTTCTGCTAAATAAAACAAAGTACCAAGTCAATAGTAATGTTCTAAAAATGAGCACTGAAATTTTTAAAAATTAAATATCCTTTATAAATAGTTTACTGATTACTAAAATAAATGTAGTCTAATGACAGAACCATACTTATTGGAATCACAAAACTGTACTTTAATGTCTGTACTTTAAATGCTCATCTAAATATTTCACTTTAAATATTCAAAAGTTTAGAATATTCAGGTTTCACAAAAGGCTAAAACAGAGTTACGATATGACCCAGCAATTCTTTTCCTAAGTATGCACACAAGAGAAATGAAAATGTATGTCCACATAAAAACTTGCACATGAATGTAGAAATAATCCAAATGACTATTAATTGATAAGTAAACAAAAATGTAGTATATCCATGCAATGAATATTATTTGGTAATGAATAGAAATGAAGTACTGATACATGCTACAACACAGAAGAACCCTGAAAATATTGTGCTAAGTGAAAGAAGCCAGTCAGAAATGACCACATATTGCATGATTCCACTTACATAAAATATCCAGAAGAAGCAAATCTATAGAGAGAAAGATTAGTGGTTGCCATGGGTTGTGGGAAGGTTGGGGAAAATGCAGAGGGCTGCTAATGGGTACTGGGTTTCTTTCTGGGATGATGGAAGTGTTTTAGTTGATTGTGGTAACTGTTGCACAACTCTGTGAATACACTAAAGGGTGAACTGTACACTTTAAATGGGTATATTGTAGAATGTATGCATTATATGTCCATAAAGCTGTTATTTTTTAAAAAGAGTATTTGGATCTTCTACTGATAAAGTGCTATTTGACTTAATGCAATCTCTATTGAAATTTTAAAGTCAGTATTCTCTTTATGTCCAAGACTGAATATAGAATGCCCCCAGGATGACTTTTCACGTGTCACTTACCAAACTCTCTCAGGCATTCATCCATTTAGTCAGTTTTGCATCTCCATATTTTATATATATATGTATTTTTTTTTAACTTGGCAAAACCATATTAATTTGGTTTGGGAACTAACAGGTTTACCCAACATTTTAAGTTCCTAAGTACTTACACCAGACTTGTTCTCTACAACTTCATTCCAATAAACACACGACTAGCTAGATTTTTTGCAACAGAAGAGTTTAATAGAGGCAAGTAAACCTGAAGATTCTAAGCCATATAAACTATTCACTCCCTTCTGTTGATCCTGATTCCTAAATATCTTCTCTGTATTCCCACCGCCATTTTAGTGAAATCTTAAATCAGTTCTTATTGGAAATACTGCAAAAACCTTCTAAGAAGTCTTTCTGCTTCTTTACTCCAATTCTTTCTCCACACAGCCACAGTAATTCTTGTTTTTTCAAATAGTAATATTTTTAATACAAAACTGATCCTGATGCTCCCCTACTTAAAACCTTTCAGCATCTCTATCGTCACGTACATGGCAAAATCCCAGGTCCTCTGGCATAAAAATGTCTTCTTAATGAGTCCTCTGACTTCCTTCTTTGGTCTCATTTTCCTCTAATACATTCAGTGAACAAACTTCCTATCATGCCCCAAATACACTTGTGTCTCTCCTGCAACCATACCGTGTATTTGGTACATGATGTTCACTCTCCCTCAAATGCCCTTCCAGTATTCTGCCAAACCCCTATACATATTCTAGGTCTCAGCTCATTCCTTATCTACCTGGGAGAACCACGCTGCCTCACTGAGGAAGTCTTAGGTATTTACCTTTCTTATTGCTCTTATGTATTCCTTAATTAAAGCTTTGATAAATTGTACTGTATAGCAATTTTCTGTTTTGGTATCTGGTTTCCTACCACCCTGTGAGGTCCTTGAGGAGCAGGAACTATTGTTTACCTTCTTCAGAGCCTTAGACCCTAGAATATAAGATCTTAATAAAGGGCTTTGAATGAAAATGCATGACAATCAAAATTTATATAGACCTTGACAGTTTGCCAAAAAAATGGGGTGCCCATATATTCTTATTTCATTCTAAGAACAAATCTTGAGGTAGGCAGGTCTGGTATTATTTGAATTTTACAGACAAGGAATTCTGAGTTAGTATCTGTCAACAATCATCAGCTGGTTCAAAAAAATGAGAAACTTCATTTAGAAAAATCTCTTACTGTTAATAAATTATTTTATGTAGGAAAAACTTTAAAATAAGTTTTAAGTATACTTGTCAATAACAAAACAAACTGTTATCAGTTTCTGAAGTGAAAAAATGTTGGCCAGTGAGGCCTACACATTTCCTTTAATCTAACACTCCAAACTCAACCACAAATATTAAGGACCTGTAAGAGAGACAGTTAAGACATATACCTGTCAACTCGTGAACCTTATTTTGAACCCAGTCTCCTGTTTCTACTAATTCTACTCTGGTTCTGTCACTCCTATCAGCTTTCCATTTTGCCTCATTTTTCTGATTTGATGATGTCATTTATAAGACCTTGGCTTCCCTTGGTAACTATTTTGATATTCTACACTAACTCTAATGTTTCTGGCTGTTTGGCTGGATACACCATACTTGTTAAAATTAGTACAAAGTAGTCTTTATTCTGCATTCCAAGTCTTCTATCAGTTAACCCAATCCCACTCCAATAACAGTAGGAAAAAGTTACTTCATCCTTATGCAGCAGTCCCTACCCTGTTGTTAAGTGTAAAAATCAATGCATTAATAGGATGCTTTTAGCACTTCTCTAATTTCATATTTAAAAGCAACCACTTTTATTATTGCCTATGTTTCCTTATCCATCTAAAATGGATTTCTTTTAGGTGACTATAGGTCTTCTAAATAAACTGCAAAAAGGTGTAACAAGAACACATATAACCACCAAGCACATCTTGTCTTCACATCTACAAATAAAACAGCAAAAGAAGGTAGAACAGGACACTGAATAAGGAGGCCTCGATTACAGCTCTAGTTCTAATCAATGGCATCTGACACTGGGCACTTCAACATCTCTAAATTATCGTTTTCCATATGCTTATGACTTTTTTTTAATAAATCGGTAATGCCTTTTTTTTAATGTTCTGCAAGTTTAGTTAAGAATGTTCAAATGTCCTATCACATGGCCTTCCCCATGAGGCCTTTCCTGGCCACATTCTTTAAAAATCATCACCATATCACTAACACCCTTTCTCCTTGACACTTACGACCATCTAAAACACTATATGCTTTATTTATTTTTCATACTTATTGTCTGCCTCCTCCACAAGATTACTGACTAATATATCTATTTTGTTCATTACAGTATCTCCAGAAGTCTAGAACAGTCTTGGCACACACAATGTACTCAATGAGTATTTATTGGGTGAATGAATGAGTGAATGAATGAATGAAAAGACAATCCAGAAAGGTTGGCAAGTTGAGGACCTGTTTAATTCCAAAAGGTTATTAACATAAGAAAGTAAATTGGAAAATCTTTTCAAGAAGTTTCCACAAACTAATCAAATAAATTGAGTAAAATAAACCAATGTCCATACTTTGTTTTAACTTTTCCTAAATATAAATTTGATAATTAACGCAAAATCATTACACTTGATTAGAATATTTGTTCTGCCATTCAATAAACCTGACGTATAAAGCACATAGTACAGACGCTCCTGTTGGCACTCAGACCTCTTTTACTTTTAACAGTGCTGAAACTTAAAAATTTGACTTATCATTCAAATGATCTATTAGCACAATAAACTCTTTTCTGTATTTATACAAAAGTTCTCAAATTCATTATAAGGACTTAGAGTCTACCAGTTTACTTATATTAGCTAGTTTGATTTCACTGAAAACACAGCAGGACCCTGAGGTCAGTTAAGTAACTTGGTTTATCATTCTCATTGGTTTGTCATTCTCATATTGAACATCTGTCACTCAAGACATATATCGGAGTCCCATACAGGACAGATGAGATTCCATTCAGTTTATACAGCAATTTTTAATATAAATATTAACTACTATACAGTCCAGCCCTTCCTGAGGCTCCTCGCCACCCACACACAGCGGGAGCCAGGGCAATGTGAGGGAGAGACTGGACCTTGCGATGCGGCCTGTGGTCCCAGCTCTCCAGGGGATTTGGGCTGTAATACACCAGATTACACTAGGAAGTCCGAATTTCCACAAAGTTCAGTTTCAGTATCATGTCTAAGGAATAATTAATAAACAGATTAAGACAAAACATATCCTTTTTAGGCAATAAAGATTTTAGAAAAGTTTCCAGAGAGGGACTCTGTAGACGTCTGTTAGCTGCTTACTAGATGCAGGAATGTCCCCTTGCACATGGGCAGTACTTCCACAAAGAACCAGGTAGGCCCATTTCAGGAAACAACCCAAACCTTCTGGGAAGATACCATTAGTACTCAGGCGACAGCTTAGAAAAGATGACCTGCCTTTCAAACACTGCATCACGACACAGGACCGGGCAGGGAACCATCGTCACCACCAGCGTCTTGCTCTCCTCTTCCCAATTTCTGACACCCTGAAAACTCTCCATTTGGGGTCCAAGACAGATAATTGAGTACTGAGTCCCATTTCCATCCTCAGTAAGTTGTGTTCTAGGATGTGAGAAAAGGGAAAGTGTCAAGTAAGTGATAGAACCTAACAATTAAGATAAAACATCCAAAGAGGTTAAGAGTCCAAAAATTGGTACTTTGATTAGGACTGATAAATAATCCATCACTCACATACAAGTCCCCTGTTCAATACCAGGTATAACATTTTGCAGGAGAAGCCAACAGAGAAGTATTAGTACCCCTAATAAGGCATCTAAACTATACTAAAGAAAATTACAGATTCATGGAGTCCCCAAATACAGTTTGGAATAATAAGGGCCTTCTAAAAGATACTAGATGGCCATCAAAGAAAAGCCATATGGCAGAAAAAGAGATCTCAGTGTTCCTGAGGACAACAAAATTGACATTTCCTTCTAAAATGTAGCCTGATATAGTGAAGAAAAGTCCAAACCTGGAGAAATCTGCTAGGAACTCTAGAAAAAGCTTATTAGGCAACAGATCCGGAGCTGACTCGGTAATGACATTCAAACTTCAAATCACTACAAGAGAGTAAGGACGTAAAAGGAATTCTGGACAATCTACGAAGAAAGAAGAAAGATAATAAGACAGACCTGGGAAGAGTAACAGGCAAACAAAATCATTTTTCCTCGGCTGTCAAGTTCACCCACGCTGAATGCTGTATGGGAATAGGACAGTGTTCTCAGAGCAGGCCTAGGTCACAAATACACCTTGAACACCATTCCATCCAATCTGAACAGGGTCACTGGCAGCAAGGTGTGAGGCAGCATCCTGGAATGACTCACAGAAGTGGTAGACTTGGAGAGTATGTCAGAGGCACTAATTTTAGCCCTGTCTTCTTAGTGGGCCTGGAGAAGCCTTCAAAGTGAATGAAAATGTTGTATCAATTGATAAGGGGAAGATTCTTCATATTTTCATATTAACCTTCAAGCCTATTTGGATAGCTTTTGGTTTAGGGTTTTTTTTTACTACGCAGAAAGTCAAAGCAGCCTCTAGAACAGAACCTCTCAATAAGTGGCAATAAAGAAATTAACTAAAGACAAAATTATATCTACAAAAAATATTAATTCAAGGTACTAAGTGAAAACTAAGACTTGGAAAGGTATTCTTCCTAGAAAAAAAAGATATTTTCTCTAAAAAATTTTCATCTGACTTTCACATATTATTAGCTCCAGAAAACTCTAAGGCATTAATAAGTCTACTAAATATGAGTCTGCTTATGTATCAGGGATTAATTTGAATATGGGAGATTAGGTGTGTTTTTTAATCAATGCACTAAGATACTGAATCTATTGAGATGAAATGGGAAAAGTGTTTGAAAATCTCAAATATGTCTGTATTGATGACAGTAAATGTTTAAAAATTTTAGATCAGAATCTGCAGCATGAAATAGAATGAAGATTAAGATACAAGAATATTCAGGGGATCTTGAATGAAACACCAGAGTATTTGTATTTTACTTTTATTTAGCAGTACTTACAAATGTTTTACATAAAATATTAGCTATGTTTTCACACTGAAAGTTAGAATCATTTTCCTGATATCGCTAATTGCATTAGATGCCATAGCTTCTACCAAAAATATGCAGACTGGGTCCGATTAGAGAAAGCTGGTGTGCTCACAACTTGAATGAAATGGGGAGACAGAAATGGCTGGTGAGCACCTGAACTTGCAGGGTAGGGAATAAGCCATCGTGAATGCCTCCCTTCTAGAGTCTCGGTCTTCAAGGGTTTGAACTTTCCTGAGACCTGAATAATAATGAAAGTCTGTTTAATGAGGAGCTTTGGATATTGGGCCCCCTGGGATGCCTGGGATGCAGAGACTTCAAATAGTGTGTCTGTAACCACCTCACCCAACAGCCCTTCCCAGTCAAGAAGCAACAGCCGAGCCACCTCTTTGACAAACACGTTTCAGGTTTCCTTCCCATGAAAGTGACAAGACCCAGAAATGAAATCCCTCCTTTTCAGTGTTTCCTGTCGATGTACCTGGTCAACACAATGGAAAACCTGTTCATTTTCTGGATGTCTTCCCTGACTCCCAATTCCACACCCTCATGTCTGAAATCAATGTGTCAATAGCCTCTGGAACTCCCTCTGGAGTTCTAGAAGAGGATCCTTCTTTGCCTCTCTCTTCCAGCTCCTGGTGGCTCTAGACATTGCTTGGCTTGTGGCCACATCACTCCACTTTCTGCTAAAGGTCCAAGAATTTGTCTTCACATGGCCTTCTCCTGTGTGTCTGTCTCTTCTCCTCTCCTGTCTCTTAAAAGAACACCTGTCATTGGATTTAGAACCTACCTAGATAATCCAGGATGATCTCATCTTGAGACCCTTAATTATATCTGCAAAAACCCTTTTTCCAAATAAGGTCACAGTCACAGGTTGGGGAATGGGGAGCACCATTCAACCCAATACAACAGAATAAAGGGTTAGAACAGTTCTCAACTGCCCTCTGGGGACACTTAGTAACATCTGGAGACATTTTTAATTATCACAACTCAGGGAAGGGGTGCCACTGGCATCGAATGGGTTAAGGCCAGGGTTGCCACTAAATGTCCTATAATGCAAAAGACAGCCCCTACATGACCTGGCTCAAAATGTCAAGGATGATGTATTTTGGAAGTGCTGGGATAAATGAAAGCCCTGGTAAAGTTGGAATTGGCTCTGCAGCCCAGCACATGTCACTGGCTGTTCAAATCAGCTCCTCTGAGGCTCCGTGATGGGGGCCATCTCCCTCACCTAATTGGCGGGATTCCTAGGACACCTCACTTGCCTTTTCTCTCGTTTCCTGGGGAACAAGGAATGGTTACTTGTCTTCATGCCATTGGGCTGTAGCAGGTCTTTATGTATTGTAAACACATGTCCTTTGTTGAGGTATGTCTTGCAAAAATTTCCTCGAAGTCCATGTGTGGCTTGACTTTTTTTTTTCTCAACAACATGACTCATGAGGGAAATGGAAATGAAATGTAGGTGGAAAACATAGACAATGCACATGAGAATGGCTAAAATTAAAAACTTGAATGAGAGAAGACATGAACGTAGTATCAGAGTCCAGGGTATTGCATGGAGAGGGGTAGCATGGTGGGATCCATACACAGCCAGCTGCGTACCCGGCCGGCTGCACAAGGCAGTGGGCACTCGGCAACAGCATCAGCTAACAGGTTCCCAGCAGGAAGGGCCAGCACTGGTACTCACAGCACAGAATGAAGAAGGACTGGCAGGGGCAGGGCCAGGACAGGCTGACTCCTGGGAGCTGTAGGCTCACCTGTTCACTGAACCGAAACCTCAGTAAGGTGCAACTTGTGCCTGTGTTTTTCTCCTAAGTTTATGAAAGTGGTAAGAAGTGTAGCAGCAGCAAGGGGAACAGCCTGGAATGCAGAGTGGAGGCCCTGGGCTTGCAAGCACTGCCCGCTCGGCTCCTGAGGCCTCTGTGGAGGGAGTGGGGCAGCAGGTCTGGACATAAAGGCCTCTGTGGGTCCTCCTCTTCTCATTTCCCCAACTTGTTTATGTGCTAGAAGTGGGGGAGGGGCTCTTGAGAAAATTCGGCATGCGAGTATTAAATGCAAGGCTGTCGGCTCCAGGCAGTTGCAAGAATACAGTCCCTTGCTGATTCTAACAGCAACATTTGCAGAATTTGAACAAGTAAGACAGTCCACTGGAAATCTGCACCGCAGATGGCAGTTCCTGTCAGCCAGCACTGATATTCCAAGAAACGCTTAGGGCTGTGTTTTTCAACTTGTGGCTATCTTCAGGTAATAAAGTCAGAAACTCTCCCTCAAGGCATTTCATGATGTTTTGGGACTGCTGTTAAGGGAATGCAGTAAGAAATGAATTTGTAATAGAAGAAAAGGGGAATCAAATCTTTGTTAAAAACTGAACACTAACATTCACTGGAAAGTGAACTCAAGTAGCCCCAGAAACTTTGTAACCACTAATGGGGTTGGGGTGGGGGGGCGGCAGTTTCTAATTGTTCTCCAGGTTTTCTGAGTCTGAGGGTCAGAGTTAAAGCTGAAAGCTGATTTTGTTCAACCCCAAGCATCCAGTCCCCGGGGACTGAGGAGGAGCAGAAAAGAAAAACAAAAAGCTAGTGAATCGGTGCAGGAATGTCTGCCTGGACCCTTGCAAACTGCAACTTCATGTGTCTGCACCCCAGCCTCTCTCCTACCATTTCCCCTGGAAAAGCCCTGACCGCTTGTTCTTCAAGGCAGGAGCCTGCCACTCCCTCACTTGCTAGCAAGTCAATAAACTATTCTTTCCTTTCCTCAAAACCTTGTCATTGTGTTTTGTGATTTGACCTCAGGGAGGAGGACCAGGTTTTGGTATCAGGAGCAGCACCCCCCACCCCGACCAAGTGCCCGCAGTGCCGTTCCTTCAGTGTCAGAACCACCACAGGGCCGAGCTGTCGGGGACGCAGACCTCCCGGCTTCCTCCTTGCGAGCCACAGGGGACTGTGCTGGCAAGGAATTCACGCTGTGTGGCAGGTCAAGTACAAGCCTCTAGAACTCCCTCTAAAGTATACATTGAAAGCAGTAATGCCTTCCAGGAGAGGTTACAGAAACCAGTGTCACCACCAAGGATTTGAAAGAAGTAGGGGTGTTGATTTCCACATACCCTTATTGAAGTCACTCATTTGGCCTACTCAGAAAACTGATGAATCTTGGAGATGACATGACGGTCACCGTAATCGGAGCGTCTCAAATTGCAGTTCCTGCTGCACATGGGGATTCATCACTTGATCCCCAAGCACCCAGTGTGTAACTATTGGTCAGGAAAATGCTCTTTGTTCTCTTCCTGTGAGTAAAGACCAGCAGGGCAGTTAGCTTTCAGCCGGCAAGGGGAGAAAGCTTTCTCAGAGGTCTATCAGACCTCCAGACTTAGGTTGTCATTTAGACAGAAGGAAGCTTCATCTCCTCTTCCTTCCAGAAGCCGTCACACTGGCCCATCCCATTGATGGTACGAGGCTGATTGGACCCAGTGATCAGGAAGTACAGCTCATCCAGGCATATTGATAGCGCAGTCACGTGTCAG